AGGGAGGGAAGGAGGGAGGGAGCGAGGGGGCCGCTTCGCTGCCCGCCTCAGTCAGACGCCGCTCCGCTCCGACCTCCGAGCGAAAACAGTCCCCGGCGCCACCTCCACGGCCGCTGCTACCGCTACTGAGCCAACAAAGGGGCGTGCGTCACCGCGTCGCGCTACGTCGTCACGTCACTCCTCTGTGCGTCATCGCGCCCCGCCCCGCCGCCCCTGCGTGGAGTGTGGGGAGACCCCACGGCTCGGCCGGCGGGGTCCCTCGGAGCACGGCGGCGGCGAAGGCGGCGCGCGGGAATCGCTTTCCTTCGCACTCGGGTCCGTGGTGGCTCTGGGAGCAGGTGGAGGTCCGGAGACCTTTAACGTGGAGAGGCCGCGGCCGGCGGGGCGCGGGTAGAGGCGCCCCGGGGCCGCCCCGGAGTTGATTCCTGCCGCGGGCCGTCAGGGACCCAGCCCTCGCTCGGCCTCCCAAGGGGAGGGCGGCCCGCCTCTCGGGCGGTGCCGGCGCTTCCCGCCCGCCCCGCCGTCGCTCCCGGAAGCCGCCGGACGCGGAGCTGAAATTCCTGTTGCCCGTGCTACTGCTGACTGGGGAGGCGGCGGTTGTCCGCGGAACCCGTCGGCCGTGTGACAGGTGAAGCGCGTGCGAGCTGCCCACTGGTTTCGAACGCGCCGAGGGGTTCAGGTATATAGTGACGTCATGGCACCGAGGCGGTTCCTGAACTCAGCCCTAAACAATGTCAACAGTCGGAGCTTTGCTTAGTTGAGCGTGGTTGGGGGCCTTACCTGGATTTTCGTTTGTCTCTGTCTGTGTATACTGGGTGCGTGTGTGTGTGTGTGTGTGTGTGTGTTGGTCCTGGGGCCTAGGCACCATCCTTTAGCTTTCTCACAGCAGGTGCTCAACCTCTTGAGCCATAGCTCTACCTACACCTTCTTTTCTGGTTAATTGGAGATAAGAATCTTACTGACTTTTCCTGCTCCAGGCTAGCTTCGAACTGCCTTCTCTTCTCAGATCTCAGCCTCCTGAGTAGCTGGGATTTACAGGAGTGAGCTACCAGCACCCCCCATTACATTGTGTTTTATTTTCACTGATGAACCTGAGGCTCAAAAAGAGAAATGTTCTGGGAGGGTATGAAGCTCGATGGCACAAGCCTTGTCCAGCCCTGGGTTCTTCCATCAGCACAGCAAAAAAAAAAAAAGAGTTGGCCAAAATCCAAACAACTTGCGCAATCCCCACACCCCTAAAACACTGATCCCAAACATGCTTTATGAGCTGGGCCCCAGCAGCTCACCAGGGTAATCCTAGCTACTCAGAGAGGCTGAGATCAGAGGATCACAGTTGGAAGCTAGACCAAGCAAGACAGTTATCTCCAATTAACCACCAAAAAGCCAGAATTGGAGCTGCAGCTGAAGTAGTAGAGCACTAACCTTGAGGGAAACAAAAAAACCAGGGTCAGCACTAAGGCCCAGAATCCAATCCCCAGGACCAGCACACACACACACACAAAAAAAATTTTATGATTCACAATACTACATAGTATATAAAATACATTAACTATACTATAGCACAATACAGGCAATAATAGAAACAACTACAAGGATCAAAAGCAGCAGAAGAGATTTTTTTTTTAACCTGGAATATACGGTGGAACCTGCTACTAGATAGCTAAGATGTTCAACACAGAAAATAGAAGATATGGTCTAGCCTGAAAGAACAGCAGAAGCAGACATTGTAAGGTGGTTAAAAGTGTATGACCTGGGCTGGGAAGGTAGTTCAGTGGTAGAGTGCTTGCCTTGCATGTATGAGGCCCTGGGTTCGATTCCTCAGCACCACATACACAGAAAAGGCCAGAAGTAGTGCTGTGGCTCAAGTGGTAGAGTACTAACCTTGAGCTGAAATGCTGAGGGGCAGCGCTCAGGCCCGGAGTTCAGGCCCCACGACCAACCAAAAAAAAAAAAACGTATGACCTGCAGCTGGGAAGGTGGCACAGTGGTAGAGTGCTTGCCTTGCATACATGAGGCCCTGGGTTTGATTCCTCAGCATCACATAAGCAGAGAAAGCCAGAAGTGACGCTGTGGCTCAAGTGCTAGAGCACTGGCCTTGAATTCAGGCCCTGTGACCAACCAAAAAAAAAAAATGTATGACCTTAACCAGGTACTGGTGGCTTAACACCTGTCATCTTAGCTACTCAGGATGCTGAGATCTGAGCTTTGTGATTCAAAGCCAAGATCCTAAGACTCCAATTAACTACTCTGAAAAAAAAGTACTAGAGCAACTTGAGCACAAAGAGGCTCAGGGACAGCACCCAAGCCCCAATGTTCAAGCCCCAGAACTGGCAAAAAAAAAAGTCTGGGAATAGAACTGTGGCTCAAGTAGTAGACCACTACTCTTGAGAGAAGAATAAAAAAAAAAAAGCTCAGGGACAGCCTCTTGCTCCTGAGTTCAAGCCCCAGGCCCAACAAAAATGAAAAAAAGAAAGAATTGCAGTAACTTTAAAGTTTTTTTAAAGGCCCTACACTTTTTTTTTTTTTTGGGTCCTGTTGTGGGGCCTGAAGTCTGTGCCTGGGTACTGTCCCTCAGCTCTTCAGCTCAAGGCTAGCACTCTACCACTTGAGCCACAGTGCCACTTATAGCTTTTTTTTTTGCTTATGTGGTACTGAGGAATTGAACCCAGGGCCTCACGCATGCAAGTCAAGCGCTCTACCACTGAGCCACCTTCCCAGCCCAAGGCCCTACACTTTTATTATTAATTACTACAAAGAGAGGAGCCACAAGTGGTAGAGTACTCGCCTTGAGCTGAAGAGCTGAGGGATAATGCCCAGGCCCAGAGTTCAAGCCCCAGGACCAACAAAAAAAAAAGGGGGGGTTAGGGGGCAGCCAGGCACCAATGGCTCACACCTGTAATCCTAGCTACTCAGGAGGCTGAGATCTGAGGATCATAGTTCAAAGCCAGCCTGAGCAGGAAAGTCTGAGAGACCCTTATCTCCAATTAACCACCAGAAAACTGGAAATGGCGCTGTGGCTCAAGAGGTAGAGCACTTGCCTTGAGCTGAAGAGCTGAGATATAGCACCAAGGCCCAGAGGTCAAGCCCCACAACCATCAACAAAGAAAAGAGTAGCCAGACACAAGATCTGAAAGGCCAAAGCTCCCTCTTGAGATAGTTTCAAGGATTGGCCAAACTGAAAATCTTTTTAAAATCCCAGATCCTTAGAGGCTGAGGAAGTAGCTCAGCAGTAGAGCACTTGCCTAATATTCACTAGTCTGCTCTAGTCCTGAATTGAAAAAAAAAAAATCTGAAGACTTAATGTAAATATTCCTGTACCAATTTGCCCATTTTGTTTTGTATTTTGATTCTGAAACAAGGTCTCCCTATATGTAGCCTAGCCCAGTCTGCCTTCAAACTCATAATGCTCCTGCTTCAGCTTCCCAAACACAGACTGCAAGACAAGCATGTACCATCATGCCAGACCCAAATCAAAGCTTTCAACATTCAAACTGTGTGGTCTTGGTCCTGCTTTGTTCAGTGTTTCAATTTAGCCATTCTAAATGTTGGTCGCTCTGGAAGAAGCCATATACACAAGCACCCTTTTCTCCTGTCTCCATTATACTATGGCTTGCGGGGGGCAGGGGGAGTCGAATAAATTTTGTTAGGATTCTAAATTCCTTTTTACTCATTTTTCCTTTCATTAGTACCCATACCTTGAAAGAACTCCTCCCTTTTATATCCTTCCCTTTGGTACTGAAGCAGCTGGCCACTGCTCTTCTATGACAACATTTCAACCACAACTGAGCCCTCAGAACTACCCAGCAATCTTGCTAAGGTTTTCTGACTTGTTCTCCCACGCTTAGTTGCTCTTTCACCCTTTGGCCAATACTACAAAACCTCCAAACCTACCTGTTCCAAGCTTTTCAAAGCAGACTTCTTTAAGTCACAGAAACATTTTAAAACATCACCACCAATGTGACTAAAGCCGAGAAAAGAAGAGAGCATTAAGGGATAAAATCAGAAAAGATGGATCAAGACAGACCACTGGGCTGGGAGTATGGCTTAGTGATAGAGTACCTGCCTAGCATGCATGATACCCTGGGTTGGATTCCTCAGTACCACATAAACAGAAAAAGAAGTGGTGCTGTGGCTTAAGTGGTAGAGTGCTAGCCTTGAGCAAAAGAAGCTCAGGGACAGTGCCCAAGTCCTGAGTTCAAACCACAGGACTGACCAAAAAAAAAGTTTGTTAGCTGATCCCAACCCTGTAATCTTAGTTGCTCAGGAGGCTGAGAGTATGCTTCAAAGCCAGCATGTGCAGGGAAGTCCTAGAAACTCCAGTTAAACCGCCAAAAAGCTGGAAGTGGAGGTGTGGCTCAAGTGGTAGAATGCTGGCTTTGAGTAAAAAAAGTTTAGAGACAGGGCCCAGGCCTCAAACTCAAGCCCCAGAGACAACAACAAAAATAAACCAGGACTGAGGGTATGTATCAAGAGGTAAAAGCCTGCCTAGCAAGCAGGAGGCCCTGAGTTCAAATTCCAGAACCACCACAAAAACTGCCATCCATCACCTTATATGGAAAAGCCAATTGTGTATTTACCTTTTTCTGTATATTTATTGATGCTTCCTTATACAGAGTCTTATATCCTCCCCATTTTGAAGCAAAAGTAATTGTTCAGGTTCTTTCTCAAGACCCTTCTCCATGATCTCATGGATCCAGATCAATGTCATGGGCAGTATCTGAGTGCTTCTTAGTCTCTGCTCATGGATAAACCATGACCTGATTCTCAGCAACCATCATTCCATTCATATTTTAGAACCATCTTAGATTTAGATTAGCTTCTGGTACTATTTAAGGAAAACCTGTAGAACAACTTCTCCCTGACCCCAAATTGCCCAAGTGATGTCCTACATACATTGTTCTTTTAAATGAGTTACTTGTAAAGGCATTGCCTGTGTTATTTTTTTTAATCTGGTGGTAATTATGGGGTTGAAATAACAGCAGTCTGTAAACAACAGAACAAAGTGTTTGATAGAGCAAGAATAGTTATTGGTAATTCAGCACTTCCATTGTCCCCATATCCCAGTAATGCTAAAAATAAAAAATAAAAACTAGCTTGCATGGTGGCATACTCCTGTACTTTCCAGATACTCAAGGGTCTTAATTAAACAGGAAGATCACTAGAGCCCAAGACTGTAAGGATAGCCTGGGCAACAGAACTAGATCTAGATCTACCAATAAAAAGGTGGGCATGGGCTGGGAAGGTGGCTCAGTGGTAGAGTGTTTGCCTTGCATGCATGAGACCCTGAGTTCCATTCCTTAACACCACATAAGCAGAAAAAAGCCGGAAGTGACACTGTGGCTCAAGTGGTAGAGCACTAGCTTTGAGCGGAATTGCTAAGAGATAGTGCCCAGGCCCAAAGTTCAGGCCCCACAACTGACAAAAAAAAGGTAAGCATGGTGGTGCACATGTATAACCCCACCACTTGAAAAATAAAAGCAAGAGTATCACCAGTTTGACACCAGCCTGGCCTAAATCTGTGTGTGTGTGTGTAGTTATGAACCCCAACATGAAGAACAGGCAGGAGCTTTTCAAATAAGAAAAACTGAAAGAACAATGAAAATTTCTCAGCTCACTGCTAGAACTGATAGAATTAAAGTCCATGGCAATGGAAGGATGGAAGGCAGCTATTACAGGGACTGATCACATCGGTTGAGTCAGGACCAGGATTTT